CTGGATTAAATCCAGAGTCTGGAAGAGACTCCCCCCAGAAGTGATGCAAGCACCTACTCTGGACGCCTTCGAGAAACACTCGGATGCTCACCTTGGTGGAGTGATCTGACCCCTGCCAACTTCCTGCCCCTGGGGCAGGGGGCTGGACCCAGTGATCTCGCAGGGTCCCTTCGAGCTCTAAAGTCTTTGAAATCCAGCTGCTGCTCTGATCCACCATAGTAGTGCCTATGCTGTGGCCCAAAGTGGAGTCAAAGTGAATGAAAATGCTTAAAGGAAAATAAAGCTGAAGGAGGTTGTTGGCTATCTGGGTGTGGGAAATGCACACGGAGATACAAAGCGGACAAACCCGCGGCCCCTGCAGACGTAAGGGCATTTCAGATGATCTTCCCGTAATGTTAGCTTCTCATGCTGACAGCTCTGCATGGTGGGAACCCAGGATGAAATGGGAGAGGCCTCCCTTGTGCCCCAATTATTTCCCGAAAGCCATCATTTGTTTTAAAGCTGTTTGCATTTGTGGTCGCAGTGCTATAAACAGCTGCTGCCTGGGCCAGCCACGAGGATCCGTGGCACTGGGTCACATGCTAAAGCGTACCGTGTTGGTCCTGCTCTGCGCTCTCGTTGGAAGCCTGTGCTTGCTCTATGATGGATGTGAGCGTGTGCTCGCTGCGGGTAGAAAAGGAGGGTCCCTGGTTCAGCTAACGTGTGCATAGACTTAAATGCCAAACTTGCAGGGTTTAAAACAAGGGAAGTGTTCAGGATTCTTACCTCTTAAGAGTAATCCTTCACACTTCATCCTTGGGCAAGGATCTCTGCTAACGTAATCCTCCCAACTCCTTTGTGAGGGAGTGGAGAGTTGCTTCCCAGCCTGCAGTGCAATGGGCCGAAGCACGGAGCTGTTGGGTGACTTGTCTGAACCCCGGGAGAATGGAAACCGGTGCTCCTCCTCCCACTCCTGGTCATTAGCTGATGCTTCATCCCTGATGGGGCTGATGCCTTGGACGCAGGGCTCTGCATTCCCCTCCAAGAGCCTTAGGGCTTGCCTGCAGGACTGTTTTGTACCAGCCCAAGCTACAATGTGAATTGAAGCTGCCATAATTACACAAGTACAACCTCTTGTTGGCCGTTCTTATTCCAGTTTGAGTTGGTTTTTTTGGCTTAATGTCTGGAAAGAGTTTGAGTTAAACCCAAAAAACATCCTCCATAAATTGGAACCAGATCATCCTTGTGGGTGGTTACGCTGCTGGAAGTATATCAGTGTAATTATATCTGTGCAACTGGTCAGACTTGCTTGTCGACACAAGTGCGCGGTCCCTCTGGGGCCTGCCTTGCACGACCAGGGAGCAGGGGTTGGGCACGGTCAGGTCTGTCTAGTCCATGTGTAGCTGGAGCTGCCGGCTGTTCCTTTGGGTCTTTGCAGAGACACCCCAAGTCCCTGGATTTAGCTCAGAGCATTGAGAGCTTCTCCCGTCTCTTTTTAAAGCAAAGGTGTCATTGGCAATATTGTGTATTTTAAGCATTTGTTGCAGTACTGATCTCCCTCTTCTCTGTGGGCATTAAAGGGTCTGTCCATATCCAGTTCCTTGAAGGCTCTCTGTAGGTTCATGGATATACCTTGGCCTTTCAGCCATGCTCCTTCTTGATTGCTAACTATCTTTATTAAATTGAAGGCAGAAAATGAGCTGCTGCCAAACTGTGGCAGTGCTGGCGTGTTTCGGCACCGTACAGTCTCAAACAATAGGATTAGGTTGGATTTACTCCAGAGCTCTGTTCTGGGTCCGTTGCAACCCTTGGGTATAACTGAATAATTTAGCATTTAAGACATTAATTTTTTAAGGTTCTGGATGAACCTTTGTTCTTGGAAGAATTAAGAGGGGCTGTTACAAATATTACTGCCTTTATAGATGGGGAAACTGAGCCAGAGGGGTATGTGTCTTAAGGCTACAAAGAGCCCGTAAATGTGAGAGCTGAAATGTCTTATTTTTCCAAGAGGGTGTTTCAGATGCACCTCACTCGAGGCCTGATGCAAATCAATCTCACTAGACTGACGCTTAAAATGGGCAGTTACAAAATAGTAATGAAGCAGACGCATGGCGGCTCACTGTTGTGGGAAAGGGATCTTGGGAGCCTTTAAGGAAGGTGAAAGGAAACCATCTGAGTGTTTTTCAGTACATTTGCTGCATGAATTGCAAAACTTTGTTCTTAAACTGTGACCCCAGTCACCTGGGGTTGTCAGGTGTTGCACAAGAATCCCTATCATTCTCTACCTGCTTCTGGGATTTGCAGATTTGACTTTTTAGCATCATGAGATGCCCTGGTAATTGTCTCGTGGAGTGATGGCTAAGGGGACTGACAAAAATCATTTGCCTGATGCAGATAGTAATAAACCTGAGGATCATTGTTACCTTTGGAGAATCTATAAAAAATGGCCTGTGAATTGGGGAAAAAATCTGGCCACGTGCCTTACCTTGCTTTTGATGCCCAAAGGAGAAGTGGGGATTTTCCTGTAGCCTTTTTGCCCTACTTCTTAATTTTTTTTTAACGTGAACTGTAACCCAAAAGAGACTTTCTGGACAGTGAATTGAAACGATAACACCACAGAAGTCAAGAAAATGCAAGCTGAGAAGGAAAGGGATATTTAGCCAAACTGGTTTGGGTTTTATGTGTTGACTTTTTTTATAATGGTTTGGGTATGGCTTGATTTAGCACCTGTTGTATTTCAGCGAGTCTCATAGCTGGGGTAAAGGCTGTATCTGCTCCAGATGAAAGGAATCGGTGTAAAGAATAACTGGAAGGGTTACAACTTGCAATACACATGACCGGCAAAAAGTCCACCAACCTTTAAAATCAGGGAGGGCCAGTCCTGACATTTTTTCCAGTCCAAACAATAAAACATGAGAGAACGCACAAATACTTCCAGCCTTGTTTTGTGTTGTAGAAATGTAAAGAAGTGCACAAACCCGTTTTAAAAAATCTTTTTGCATTTACTGTTTAAGATGGGTTGCCTAAAAAGGCATTGTCAGTACACAGTCACTGGTAATCGCTAGTAGGTTTTGCTGGTATTGCAAATAATGATAATTAAAATCTTATTTTTATTTTGAAAGGTAAAATCATGTCACCCGGTTCAACTGTATTCTCAAACGGAGTCAACGTGGAGGAAGAGGCTGTATAATTAATTTAGAGTCAAACTGAATCATTAGATGCAGGAGTTTGGGGAAGAAACCTTGCTTATTAATAAAGACTAGAACTAGGATTTTTCTGCACAAACTTTGCACGCTCAATAGAGCCATCCTGGGAGGTGATAGGAATAACTCTTAGAGAAGACTGGTGTCTTCTGGTTTGCAAATTAAGCATGTTCAGGTCAGGGCAAACTCAAAGTCACCTTAATTTGGCATGGTTTGGCTACACCATCTGCCATTTTCTCTGAAAATATACAACCTAGCACTTGCACAGTTTCTCCTCGCAAATCACTTCTTAATTAGTGATCAGTGAATAGAGCAAAGAGAGGCTAGAGAGAGCGTGAAGTCGCACCAGGGACATGCACAAGAGAGAGAGAAATGCTGGAAAAAGTAAGAAGTTGGTAAGAGACCTTCAGTTGACTAAGAATGTGGATCCTTTAAAAGCACAAGCCATCCTTCTAGTGACTCGCTGTAGAATAAGGTCCCTTCAAGATAAGACTCATTGGTGCTGTGGAGCTGGTATTTAAAGTATGTCCATCTGCATCTAAACGAGTAGCTCCAAGACAATCAGATTATGCAGTAGTTACTTTGGTGAGAATATCGCCTAAGTGGAATGGAAACTTCATTTTGAGTCTAATATTAGACCCTGCTTTGGAAAATTCCTTTTAAATGATCACAAGCTGGGAATAGCAAAAGAATTTAACTTTCGACAGACAGCATTCACCAAGAATTTGTTTTTAACTGCTTATGTTGGGTCCCTGGGAAAGCAGATGTGGAAATCTTACCGAAGTGAATTGACTTGACCTGATGCAATGTTTATATCAGTTGTTGATAAGTTTTCCTCCCTGGTCTAATTTGTTCAAGATATTTTCATTCTTTGAGCATGAGCAAGCCTGGGTTGGAATAGTTTGAATGTCTCTTAGTCTAATAATCCGAATCTTCGTGCATCCAGACGTTACTGCCTATAAAGGGGCCTGAGCAGTGGAAACAAAGCTGAACTATTTTGGTTACGTTTTGTGGGTTTCCATGGGGTAGGTGCTGGGTTTTGAGACCAGAAGAGGATGGCTCAGTAAGTGGCTGACTGAGGGCTGGATCTTGGTCCACCTCTTCACCTCCTAGGGGTTTTGGAGGTGTTTATATGCGAGTTATTTCCCCCTGCTCAAGTTCTGCTACAACTTTTTTTTTTTACAGTCTCCCTGGGACTGGGGCAGGTGGAGTAGGATCCTCACAGGTGAAATAGCACCTGGCCATGCCTTAAAGTTGAGGCCAGCTGTACCTGCTCTTCAGTGTACTTTTCATCTGCTTGCTCCGTTGGGTATTGCGGTGCCTGTTGAACCTACAGTCCAAAACGCTTTTCTTCGGAGTTGTGCAGGTAGCAGGGTTTTATAACTAAGACAGTGGGAGCTGGCTACCAAGGGTACTTTATAATTAGCGATTAATTGGCCTTCTAATTACTCTGTGAACTGGAATGATACGGTAGGTGGCAGAGAAGATCCTTATAGGAGGCTCAGCCATTGGTCACATCTGATGCATCTTCAGAGCTGCTAGCATCCATCTTCTCCATAATGACAGCAGTCACAAAGGGGCATTTTCACTTTGAAAGTGTTTAGTTCACTGAATCCAAAATCCTCGGTCTTCTGGTAGGAGTCCTTTTGGGCGTATGAGCCAGAGGGTTTATGGAGGTGGTTGAAGCGGTTGTATGCCGTTTTCTGACACTTTGTCCCATCTTCTCATGACAGTCTCTGGTGCACGCTTGCTTGTATTTTTGCTGTAACTCCCTACTACCTCCCTGTCTAAAGTGACCGTGTCCATCTCTCCCGGCAGGCAAATCCCACCTGGCCATAGTCCAGCGAGTAAACAACGAAGGGGAAGGAGATCCGTTTTATGAAGTTCTGGGAATCGTCACTTTAGAAGATGTGATTGAAGAAATCATCAAGTCGGAGATTCTCGATGAGACTGACCTGTACAGTGAGTAGACGTATTTGTGCTTTGGCTTCAAATATCAGAGCAGATTTTTCCGACTGCTCTTCTCTGAGCTGATGTGATTTGGTAGATGTAATGTGCTGCTATAGAAAGTCAGATTACCCAGTAGTCCATATCCATTTTATCCCTTTTTTTTTTTTTTTTAATCCACTGTCATTTCTGTAACATGGCCACCTCTGTACGTGACCTTACAACTTAGGATGTTATTTTTATGGATTTGTTCAGTCTTAAAGGGTTTTACGTGAGCATGTTTCCAGCTTGGGCTCTCTTCTTCTTTTCCCTGCCCCAAACAACCTTGCTGTAGCTCTCAAGATGGCCTTCTTTTCCCCCTAAATTATGAACCTCTCCCCGCTGAGGGCCCACAGTGCCATTGCCATGCTTTGGCTGAGGATGCGTTTTCTTTAGAGCCGGTCTCTGACCCTCAGCTGGAGGAAATGCAGGAGTTGCACAGTACTTCCTTCCCTTCGAGGCTTAATAAATGCAGTGTTTTAAATTGTTCTTCCCTACTCTACTGCATACGGTTCCTTTGACCCCTTAATGGTCATGTGCTTAAGAAGGACCATGGCATGCTTCGAACTCTACCCGAGCCCCAGTAGGTCTGGGTTCCCTTCCCAGCTTCATCTAACTGTGTGCGCCCTTGGACCAGTTAACTGACCTCTCTGCTGCCATTCCTATCTCTGAATGTCGGGTACGGTCCCACTGGTACCTTTTTCTCACCCTTGATCCGTCTTACCTGTTCTTAAAACTCCTGGCAGGCAGCGTTATTTACTGTGCATGTATAGTGCTTAGCACGTTGAGCCCTGTAAGGCTAAGTACAGACAGTCAAAAAGCCTGAGGCTGAATCAGTTCAAACTAAGCAGCTTCCTCTAAGCTGTGTAGGTTGAACTGATAACCAACCAAAGTGACATTCAGCTTTCAATTGGGAAAGGCAGGGAGAGGCCTGCACTGTCCCAGGCCAGTAGGCATGGGGTGCCAGAGCATGTCTCCCAGCCTGCTGGCCATTGCCAGCCCAGCCAGGTGTCCCCAAATCCCTGCTCTGTCCTCCCACAGGGAGTTCAGGAGCGCCCTGTCTGGGTGCTGGCCCACCTTGGGGGAGTTCCCCCAGCCTGGGTTCCCCAGTCCAGGCAGCCCTGGGGAGCTGAGGGAATTTCTCCCCCCCAACTCGTGCACACACCCTCCCTTTCCAGCTGCTGATTGCTTTAGTCTGCCACAGGAGGGGAGGGAGAAGCAGTCCTCCCAGCTGGGTGCCTGCCCCTGTAGCTGAGCATGGGGGCACTGGGGAGCGGGGCTTGCCCCCACCCCAGCCCCGGGTAGCACCAGCAGCCAAAGGGAATTCTTGACCCTACCCATTTGTCTTAATTGCCTGCTGGCGTCTCAGAGATAGCCCATAGGGTTTTGGGGGAAATTCCTCTGCTTCCCTGCATTAGTTTTGCCTCTGACTCGCAACAACTAAGGCAAAACTGGCTGGGGAGGAGCAAGAGAATTTCCCTCTGCTCCCGCAAGTGCCTGGGACTCGCAGGGGCCGAGGCAAGGTTTGGGCTGCCAAGGGGCTGATGGACACAGGGAGGAAACAAGCTACAGAAGAGGGGCGAGGCAGTCCCTACTCCACTGGAGCAGGCAGCAAAGCCCATGGCTGCAAAGCATCCTGGGATGCTGGGGAACTGTGAGTTAACTTGAACCAGGAAGGGATCTGGGACAGAAGTTCTATAAACCAGTTTGACCTAAATCAGTTAAGTCTGATACTACGTTCAGCCAGGTTTATCTTAAACCAGTTTCGGCCATTTTGAAAGCGGTTTATGTGCCCTGAATTTCTGTTCTGTTACAGATTTAAACCGGTCTACGTGTCACTTCTGTCCCTAGCCCAGATGCTACAGGATCATAGATAATCATTTTAAATAGCTCTTTGCTGTTGAGAGATTCTTTCCCCCCCCGTGGCAGATACCAAATGAATCTTTTAAGATTCTTTTCATTTTCTTAGATTTTTGTTAATCCTTGATGACCATCAGTGTCTGATCAGCAATTGTGCCCAAAGGTTCATACAAGACGGCCTTCCAACGATGTACTCTTCTTACCGTGTTACACGCTACTCTGAGAGCTCATCTAATCGAGTGCCAGTTGTCATCAGCTCTTCTCATTGCCCACTCCTTCTCTCGAGTGCTCAAGTGCCAATAGACATCATGCCTCTACAAGGGAATTGTATGCTTTCGTTTATTCTGCAGAAATATTCCCTCATGAGTGCTTTGCATCTGCCACTCAGAGCAGATTGTGCTTCTCCCACAAGTGGGGGAATGTATTTATCTAGACCTCTCGTTATAGCTTTTTTTATTGGGAGAGATCATTTGGATCACACTATATTTCATACAACCCAACCCTTTAATTTTATGTACTAATGCAGTGCCACGGTGCAAGGTAATGAAGACCCGTGTTTCATGGTGTGATGCGTTTCTGGGTTACACAATAGATCTGGCAAACTAGTTCATTTGGCACTTTACTCCCTGGGAAAGTGTCACTGTTGAGAGGCCAAGCAGTATAATACACAAGTAACACAACTCCCCCAGCCTCCTGGAAGACGGAGCCAGCCCACGGGGGTCCTCCAGACCATCTGCTCTAGACAAGGACATGGGATCATTGGAAGGTAGGGCTGGAAGGGACCTCACAAGGCCGTCTAGTCCAGCCCCCTGCTCAAGGCAAGCTCATCTCTGACTAAACCATCCCAGCCAAGAGTCTCCAACCTGCTCTTTAAAATTGTCATTGAAGGGGATTCTGCAGCTTCTGTAGGTAGCCTGTTTGTTTGGTGCTTGGCCACCCCAGTCAGAAAGGTCCTCTTCGTTCCCAAACTAAATTTCCCCTGCTGCAGCTTGAGTCCATTGTTCTTAGTCCTTTTTCCCATAACCACAGATAAAAACCCCATCTCCATCCTATGTATAGTCACCTTTCAGGTATTTGAAGACTATTATCAAATCCTACCCCCTTCAGTCCTCTTTTCTCCAGTTTGACTTGTCCTAGTTCATTGATTGAACTCATAAGGGCATCGCGGACCCTGTTGGCCCATGGTGACATGCTAGACTCGGTCCACCAGTTACAGCCAAGGGTACAGAAGTGGAGGGGGTGCACACAGAAACTGGATGGGATTTGTGAAGTATAGCAGGGTTTATTTTTTTTCAAGATTTAGACATCAAGCAATCACTGCAAGTTGGTGTAGCAATGGGAAGGGTCATGTGGGTTGTGCATGGCTTGTGTACTGAGGAGAGGAGTCGAGGTGCATAAATGTTGCTGGGTTGGATGTTATGGTTCCTTGAATCTGGGCGGCTTTCTTGAGGTTTAGCGAACTCACCCAGTGCAACTTGAGCTCTAGTTATATTTGCACATGACCAAAATCTAGCTTTGTTGTACTATTGAGGCCGCTCATTATGTCCCAATATAAGAACCTATTTTTAGTTACTTAAAACTTCCATTTTGTCTGAAATTTCCCAGGCCAGCAGGTCTGCCATAGACTGAATTTCTTTTTTTTGGGAAAATGTTCAGACAAAATTCCAGCTGTTTGAGTGTGAGGCTGAAGGAAAAATCACATTGTTTTACTCAGCTTCTCAGAGCTCCTCCTTTGCAGCGCTCAGATGCTGTTCAGCTTGGGTCAGGGACTTGAAATTTGGCTTTGGTGGCATTTCTGAGAAAACTGGCACACATTTGGCTCAAGTCGTCATCCTTTGAAAAACTGCAGTTGGCAAAAGGTCACAATTCACAGCTACGTTCCCTAAAGTTTCTGTCCACACTGGGCATGGCCAGCTCGGGTCTGAGCAGGACAGTTGCGTTGCATGTTAAGTCGAGGCTCTTCACGATGCATCGCTACCAGGGCAAACCAGAAAAGGCCAAGACGTTTCAGCTACCGTATTCCCGGTTCCCATTCACTGCTTCCCCAAGCAACTCTCTTCAGATGCGATTATGGTGTGGAGGCCTGTCAACACGATGCTGTGCCTCAGCTTCTTCAAAGCCCCAAAGGGGTGTGGGGGTGCCCTGTTTCTGTCTGTGACAAAAAAGGTTGTAGCTGTGATTTTTCTAGGGTGTATGCAAGAAACAGGTTTTGAGGGATGAAGTAATATCTCTATCACTGCTGATGCCCAAGAAGAGGTTGGATAAGCACTGGTCAAGGATGATCTCGGTGTAGGTATGCCTGCCTTATACTGTAGGTATATCCCAGGCTTCTGGGCTTTGCTGGTTGCCACATGGGGCTGAGAAGGATTTTCCCACCCCTTGTCTTGCTGCTCCATGTTTGGGATGGGGGGGGGCGTTGCCTTCCTTGGAGGCATCAGGTGTTGGCTGCAGGACTTTGACTGGTGCCAGTGCTCCTGCTGGGACTTAAATGTGGAGATTTCTGGCTAGATGGTCTCGTCCTTGTGCTCAGGGTCAGACAAATCAACCATATTTGAGGTCAGGAAGGAATTTAAGCCCATGGGCAGACTGGTACAGACAGTGAGGGTCTGTGCCTTCCTCTAGCTGGGGACCTGACCTTTTTCCTTGGATCTCGAGCATACTCTAACAGTCCTTTGCTGCAGCAGGACATTGCCCCTGCTTTACCTGCTACAAGTTCAGCTGCTGTGTCTTGGGGTTGTCGGGGTTGGCTGCATAGTTGTGCTAATAGGTCAGACCAGGGGTGCTCAACACCTGGCTCATGTGCCAGATCCAGCCACAGGACCATGTAATCTGGCCCGTGGAGCTCCCCCCGGGTCTGAGCATTCGGCGGCGGAGGAGTGATAGCAGTGTAAATTGCCACTCCTGTGCTGCCAGATTTCTACACTTGGAGGGAGCCCTGCAAGCCAAATAATGCAGCCCCGTGCACTAGATCAGGTGAGCAGGGCGGGCTGGGGCCCAATCCAGCCTGCGGTCTGGGCCCATGTCACTCATCCAGCCTGCAGGGACAAAAGGCTGAGCACCACTGTGTTAGATTGATCCTGCCTCAAGCAGGGGGTTAGACTGGATGATACCTGGAGATCCCTGCCAGCCTTACATTTCTTTGATCCTGTTAGACCAACAGTATAGGTGGGAGAGATGCTAGACAAGCTCATTGGCCCAACACAGGTTGCTCTCTCACCTTGCAAGAAATAAGGCAGCCTTATTAACAGCTACCCGTTCCACTGTCGCTTGGTCCATCTCTAAGTAAAGGGTATTTTAATTGTCTCCCTGTTTAACCCGAGTGGAAGGCATCTGTTACACCCAGCAGCATCAATGAGATTTTTCCCAACATAACAGCATGCAGATTTGTATACATTCACATAACGTTTGAATATAATGCATGCGTACACCAAAATAAATTTTGCATAAGGCAGCTGGTTATAAGCACCTGATAATGTATTAAACACGTACCTTTGACCTCCTCAGCTCCATTCTCCCCAGTAGTCTGGCTGTACTTCAACTACCGCTACTATAACCCTTTGCTGAGCATGTGTTATTGGTTTCCCTTCATGGAAGGGCAGAGGACTTGGGTTGCTGCATGTTCCCTATCTCTGAATAATTTGTCTGGACAGCAACTGTAAAGGAAAAAGAATCTGCCACCAAAATGTATGATCCTTCCTCCATTTCTCAGATCTGGATAAAGTTTCATAGTTGTTAGGGGCTGGAAGGCACCTTACAGATCATCAGGTCCAGCCCCCTGCACTAGGCAGGAAAGACCACTGGAATCGGATGACCCCAGCAAGAAGCGAAGCTACTAGATTCATAGACTGCAAGGGGCCGGAAGGGACCTCAGAAGATCTTCGGGTCCAGATGCCTGTACCAGGCAGGAAAGACAACTGTGGTCAGGAGACCCCAACAAAGTGACCGTCCAGTCTCCTCTTGAAGACTTCCAGGGTATGTGACTGCAACATCTCTGGAGGGAGCTTATTCCCCAGTCTGGACACCCTGACTGTGAAGAAGTTTTTCACAGAGTTGAGCCTGAAACGGTCTTCCAGGAGTTTGTGGCCATTTACTCCTGGTTTTCCCCTCGGGTGCCCTGGTGAACAGTTGCTCACCAAGCCTTTGATGTACTCCCCTGATATAGCGGTAAGCTGCTACCAAGTCTCCTCTCAGCCTTCTCTTTTTTTTAGGCTGGAGAAACCCAGGTCCCTAGCCTTTCCTCGAATGGCTTGCCACGCAAGTCTATGATCATATGTGTGGCTCTTTGGACTCTTTGAAGTTTTTCCATGTCCTTGTTGAAGAGTGGCACGCAGAACTGGGCGCAGTCCTCCAGCTGCGGTCTCACCAGCGCTGAGTACAGCAAGAATCACCTCCTTGGCTTTACATGAGATGCGTTGGTTGATGCACGCCACAGTGGTGTTTGCCCTGTTGGCTACGGCATCACACTGACAGCTTATGTTCGTGCAGTGTTCAGTTATTACCCCCAGGTCCCTTTCGGCCTTGGTGCTAGTAAAATTAGCGCCATCGAGCCTGTAGGTGTGTTGGGGATTGTTTGCCCCCAGATGAAGCACCTTATACTTCTCGGTGTTGAACTTCATCTGGTTCTGATCTTCCCAACTCTCCAGCCTGTCCAGGCCCACCTGAATCTGCAGCCTGTCTTTAGGCGTGCCCATGCTCCCCCATAACTTGGTGTCGTCCACAAAGTTGGCCAGTGAGCTTTTCATCCCCACCCCTATTAAGCCAAAAGATCTGATTAGCCTATAGCAGCACATCAAGTGATCTCCAATCAACAGACAACCGAAGAGATGACTCCGCTGCATGACCTTGGGTAGGTGCAAGTTTGCCCGAGGAGCCCGGAGGAGTTTTCAACTCTTCTTGGGAAGCAGAGGTGGGAGAGTTGACTGTGCTGTCAGGGGGTGAGGAGCACATCCTCTAGGGAACAGGGTGCTCCAGACCTGGGGAAGGTTAGTGTTCACCACTACCATATACCTCAGCTTCCTGTTGGAGGCTGGGATGGCTGTGGGGCAGGTGACTGTATTTCTTTGGAGAAGACCTTGGATGGGATAGATCTGACGAAGACTCTTATTACGTCTCTGTGATCCTCCAGGTACTTTATGCATTCTCTGCACTGTGCAGGTGGCAAGGCAAGGGACGCTTGAGACAAAAGGAGAAAGATGCTCTATTAACTCCCCAGTCTGTGGTGGTCTAGGTCAAGCCACCTAGAGACCCGTGTCTCTGTCTCTGCAGGGGCCAATGGGTGAACAAGCGGCACAGCAATCCTCAGACAGCAAGAGCAAAACTTCCTTTCTTTTGAACTAAGGCTTCAACTTGGGTGTGTAGCAATAGCAGATCTTTAATGACAGATGCAACCGGTCATCACGAGAAACTTGGTTCTGTGCTTGTTTGTTTCTGAGCTGGGATGCCAGGCTTTCCATTGACCTGCAGCATCTGCTTCTGACCACGAAAGGTAGCGGGATCATAGACCATTACAATGCGCTACTTGATGTGCTCCCGTAGGCTATTCAGATCTTTGCTCGATGGCTCAGTGCCCCTCATGGACCACGTAGACGCACCTGCTAGCTCTGGCTTCAGATTCAGTTGAGCCCTTCTTCCCCATCTCCCCACCCACTCCTGTACAGGCTAGTCAGGGAACGAGGCACGCAACATCATTATAACATGAACACGTCTAGACTAGGAATATTGCAACCAAACCCCCAGGCTGTCGTGTTGCTCTCTGGCAGGCCACGGGGCTGTTTTATTCTTTTGATCCAATTTCCCCATTTCTCCACCTTTAACAGGAAGATCCAAAGAACTCCTGCCACATCATCCATGTGTCCCCAGTTGGACCAGGAAGTTTGGGTGGTGTGAGCTGATAAGCTTTTCCATCAACCTACCGTTCACCCCGCCATCCCAAGAAGTACATTCTTGGAGCAGGACACGGGCATGGCCCTTGTGCTAGAGATGTACCTCTTACTATCCCTATGAAAATCCCTCCAGTGTTGGCCAAGTTATAAACCTTGGAAAAATCACAAATTGCACGTGCTCAGAAGGGTCCCCTGTAGCCACGGTGTCCAGCCAGTGACATGCATGCCACAAATGGCACAGGCAGCTGGTATGTTTGGCCATGAGCCCCAGGCACCAAATTAAAGTGGGCACTGGCAGGACCTCACTAGAGGAGGGAAAAAGGAGCAGTGATTCTCAGGGGAGGGGACAGATATCAGAGTGACAGTGAAGGAGGGGTAGAAATCGGGTGTCACTGCCTGCTTAGGAATTTGACCCAGAGGTGTTGCCAAATTCATTGTTGTCACAGTGCAGTGGTAGTGGGATACTCCACCACTGGGCAGTGGTGGTGGTTATCTCATACTTGGGACTTAACTTGTGGTGCCCTTGCCAGAAAGTTTGGGTACCGCTGTCCTATAGCTTAACAGCTGAAAGCTCTGAAGACTTCATCCCCTCTAGACTCCAAGGCCAACAGACCGTAAATGCATCCCATCCTCACACCGAGTCACTGAGCTGGCTCCAGATCCAGGGCTATAGGAAATAGGAAGTTGCTTCAGGCCAAGGTGAGGGCAACGTTGGAACTGAGAGCATTAGGCAGGTGCATCGTGTGCCCGTTCTTTCCTTCTTCTTGGCATCCAGTAGCACAGAGGAAGAAATGGATTTGGATGCACGGGACAAAAACGCGGTCAATGGGAGACGGAGGAGGAATTGGTCTGAAGAGCCTGATGAGATTGTGTGGCTAGGCAAGGAACTGGAGCTGGAAGCCACTGAGGCAGGGGTAGGGGTGAGATGATCTGAGATGAGAAGCTGGCAAAGGGAAAAGAGTACGACTGATTAAATAAAGAGACTGGGGGTGCATCTACAGCAGACTCTTTGTTGTGGAACTGCCTAATTAGCTCAGCTTTAAGGTCTCAACATCTACACATGCAACCCTATTAGGCATCAGGAAACTTATGAACTCTGCTGCAGGTTGGCACTCATAAATACAAGTACTATCCTATGGCAGTGTTCCTTAGTGCGCAGCAATGCACATGTAGATGCTGATGGGGATGGCCAGGGCACAAGGGTGCTGCCTGCCGGCTAGCAGGCCAGCCCCTCCGCAGCACATGGAGCCTGAGGGGAGCAGCCCCCGGGGCTAGCAGGCTGTCCCCCCTGGGCTCCCTGCCAGCCAGGGCTGCTCCAACCCAGCTCAACGTGCTGTGGTCCTGGGTGCATGTTCAGACATGGCGCTTGGGAGCAATAATCTCTGGCACAATATGCACCTAAGTTAATTGCTCTGTGTTAATAGCACATGTAGATGCACCCTGGGACTAGGAATTTATGTGAGAAGTATGGGACTGGAAGGAAAAGGAGACAGGCCTGAAAAGGAGCTGGGAAGATGTGGCAGCTTGCACTGGCTGGTCAAAGCGACTAGGCTCAGCTCCCGGCTCAGGGACAGGCTCTGCTCTGGCTTTTCCAAACTTCTGAGTGCCTGGCCCAGAGACCTCGGTATCATCCTCTGAATGGATCTTTATGGGGTTGCAGGGATCTGTCATTTGTATAAAATTAGTGTTTCAGCGTGTCAGGTGATATGTCATGGGCAGCTGTACCAGTTCAATCACCTAACTCCAGTTAAATATCCTTCATGCTTCCCAGGCACTTTCACAGGAAACGTGCATAGGAAAAACACACAAAGCCCAGGAGAAATGTAAGGGGCAACGGCAGATACTACAGGGGCTTTGTCAAGATGGTGCGAGGTGCAGCCCGCCAGCCGTGTCGGTGGGCACCTTGGCCCCTTGTGCAGGTGTGTGGGTCTATCCCTGGCGCTCAGGGCAAGCTCACGCCATGCAGCATTGCATGTTCGAAGCATGTTATCACTAGGCCTCTCCTCACACGTTGCTGTTCTACGTGGCCGTTACCGTTCGGTTTGTCCTAGATAAGTGCATCCAGCTCGGTTCATGTTGGACCCTGTTCTAACACAACTCACTTCCCTCCTTTCTTCTCTACCCCGCTCCCTTCCCCAGCTGATAACAAGACGAAAAAGAAAGTAGCCCATCGGGACAGGAAGCAGGACTTCTCTGCCTTCAAGCAGACAGACAGCGAGATGAAGGTTAAAATATCACCACAGCTCCTCCTGGCAATGCACCGTTTCCTGGCAACAGGCAAGTGCGGCTTATCACCGTTTGCAATCGCGCCAGGGCCCAAAAGCGAGTTTGTCGGCAGAGGCGGGTGGGCAGCGCAGGCAGGGGGGAGGCTGGCCGCTGGGGCGACGAGTAACGCCACTGTCGTGTTTTTCTTTTTAAATTCTCTCCTCTCCTGTGTTCAGTGTCGGCATGAACCCTCTGAGACATTTGCCAGGGGTGGACCAGTAACTTTAAATTGGTCTGAAAGGTAAGGACGAATGCAAGTGCCGCACTGCATGTGTAGAGTCCGTCAGATTAACGACTAGCGAGTACGCCCCGCTAGGAAGCATTTAGGGACCGCACTAATGAAGACTCGGTGCCAGCTGGCCAGGTGTTTGGGCAGCTGTTTGCGACTCCCCCTTGGTGGCTCCTTTGGGAAGAGATGCTGGACTTTTGCAGGAAACCTGTTCCACGGGGCTTTGCTGACCTGAAACGCAAGCGTCTCTGCACGTTTAGATGAGCATTGAGCAGATGGCTGGAGTGCAACTTTTCTGGATGGATTTCTTAGTGGGGTGCGTGTCCTGAGCTGGTGGCCTCCATCCAGGTGTGGATAGGCAGATACCCACGCCCCCGGATCACCTAGACACGTGGCCCCATTGTGGGCAGTCTTTGCGGGGAACCCGTCGATTAGATGGGTCACTGCAGCTGCGTTTCCTTTTCATCCTGGAGCTGATCCTGCCTTGGGGCAGGGGGTGGACTAGAGGGGTCCCCTCCCAAACCTGTTTTCTCTGATTCTAAGGTTGCGAGAGACCTGCTGGGTGGAGGGTGTGTGGGAAGCTTGTCCTGCTGCTCTCACTGACCCTGTTTGGTGTCTAAATAAAGACCTTCTGCACGTGGGCTTTTCAGTTGAGCACCTTGCAGCACTGCTGCCTTCAGGAGAAAGGAACCGTCCAACAGGAAGGTGCAGATTTAAGAACGAGCATCGGTTTGCATGGAGCTCTGTGGAGTTCCCCAACACTTTCTTGATGTAATTTGATGGACTTTTTCCCCCCCTTCATTTGGTGGCATTGTGGCTCTGCTTGCCTAGGAAACATGAAAGGATTTTATAGTTTGTCACCTTGTGAAGCTATCACTATAAAAACAGTTCAGTGTTCAGTTTGGTTGGATAGCTTGAAATGCAGAGCAGGACCTGTGAGCAGATGGAGGGGCCAGCGGCTCCCGAGTCCTGTCCTCGACCCAGCCATTAGCAAATCGGCCGTTTGCATGCCTGTGTCTTGAGCATCTGTGGCCTAACTTGACTCTACCCCAAGATGGGCTTTTTTTCCCCTCCCGCTTTAAATAGCTCCCATTGTGAGCAGCAGAGAGTGGGAGGAAGAGGTGGTTAAACATGGTCTGTGTTATGCATTAATCTCGTGTGGTTTGAACTTACCCGGTTTCTCTGTCCCATTGTCACTGTCTCCACGTGGACCGTGACGGGCCGAGTGGCACCTTCATTTCATCTTTCGGTCTCTGCAGCGGACTGATGAATAGCGATGTTCTAGGTCTGTCAGTGATCAGAGAGCCCTAGGAACAATTGCCATAAATAGTCAATTTTCATGTCACTTCAGACAAAACCTAGAGGCCCTCTGGGACCCCACCTCTACCCCTTCCCCTCACAAGTCTCGAACAAGATGGAACAACTGGGGTTCCCGAGCTCTCAAATGGGCAAATTCTTCTTCCTTTTCCCATTGCACTGGGGAAATCATTCTTGGTAATTTGCAGACTACTTCAGCACCTCAGGTAGGGGAGAAGAAAACAGGAGTTTCCAAGAATTGGGGCATTCTGATTTCCTCTTGACAGTCTACCTAAGTCTCTCAAAAGACAGGAAAACTGCGATTCCGTATCGTATCTCTCTGCATCTCTTTTCCTCTTTTGAAGTTGATGCTTATTAATGAGTACTAATTCATTCCCATGCCCTTGAGGTGTAACGTCAAGTTGTGTCTTGTGTTTATAGAAGTAGAAGCCTTTGGTCCATCCCAGATGTCGGAGAAGATCCTTCTAAGGCTGCTAAAGCACCCCAACGTCATTCAGGAGCTGAAATATGATGAGAAGAACAAGAAAGCCCCGGAATACTACCTCTACCAGCGAAACAAGCCCGTCGACTACTTTGTTCTCATTTTACAGGTCAGACAAGTGATGGGAGTTGTATGCAGCCCTACATATGGGGAAGCATGTCTCTTCCTTCCTCTCCCTGCATATCTGTTTCCATGTAGTCTTCTTAGAGCATGGGGATGGCAGCTAGGAAATTAGGGCTCTATTCCCAATTCCCTCATTAACTTGCTAACTTTGGACAACTCATTCAGGTGTTCCCAGACTCCATTTAACCTTTATACGGTGCGGATGACGCACCCCTGCTTCTCAGAGAGGATCCTCCTTTGAAAGTTGCTGTGACAGTACAGATGGGAGCAGAGCAGGCAGGGGAAAGGAATTTGTGTGCAGCTGAAACTGGTGACAAAACGTAGGTTGAGTACAATGCAATGGCTTGAATTGGAGTTTGGACAGGATGCTGGCTAGCCTAGGTTTTGGGGGGTTTTTCCCACCTCCCCCTACAGGAAGGGCCTTGATGTGATCGCGATCTCTCCTGTTTTCCACGGGCTTAGGAAGTCTGCGCCTGTAGTGTCACGGATGGTGGCTGTGCATTAAGTGAGGGCGGAGCGCCACCTACCGCACGGCCACCTTCACTTCCTTTGGTTTCCTTTGCAGTTCTTCCATCCGTGCAGCATCTCCGGCCTGTAGCTTGTGTGAACCATTGAGACGGCAGCCCGAAGTGCTGCAGAAGTCCTCGTCTACTTGTCCATTTTCTTGGTTAGAAAAGGGTATTTTCTCCATGCAGTTGGACACTGCTAATGGGAGTGACATCTCTTGAGGTTTACAGCTCAGTAGCAACCTCAGAACACGTAGCCCCAAGACTTTGAAACTCCGTTACCACCTTTCTGCAAGACCACTACTTAAAGCTGCCTCTTGCTGGCAAGGTGCTGACATTTCCAGTCTGTGTAAACTGGATTCAGACATGCTTACAAAATCCCTCAGAACACTGGTAGCTGCCAATTCAGTGCTTGGATGATTTTATGACATGGTATTGAATGTAAAAGATCTTTTTATTTTTTAAACACCCATGGTAATAATGAAAGCAGCCCCAAAAATATAATGCCACATCTCCAGCCTAGCGCTGTCTGTTTGGATTGCTCTTCAGTCTTCCACAAAGCACTGACAGCCCTGTCAGCTCCTCTTATGCTGTGACCTGTTGCAGTCTGAAATGGTGCTGAAGGGAAGATAATAGATCTGGATAGACATGACTGGAGAGCCTGCCTTGGAACAGAAGAGCCCTGTGTCACAAGGGAGGGTGTGATGAGTAAGAACAGTGCGTTTTCCCATGTGCCTGTGTTACACCTGCAAAAGTGAGTGCATGAAAAGGCCCATGCTAGCACTGGGGTGCTCAGGTTTATCTCTGCAAGGTCCTACTCCTCGGCACAGCAGCAGACAGATACTTCTGCTGTTTGCTATAGGCTTGGAGTTGACCTGGATGTCCTGAGGTATTGATTTTTCACATAGAAAGCATGCAGGGAAACAAATACACGGTTGGTGCCTATAGTAATCCAAATCAGTAGAACTTGCTCACTTCTAGGGTGCCACTTGCTTGCATTGCATGTGCTTTTCTCTTGGACAGCAGCAGTTTTATATGCAGCCACTGATAACTTTTTTCTTTCAAAACTCCTCACAGTACATTTATCCAGTGGTGGGGAAAGCACGAGCCCAGATGGCAGGGTGTAGCTGGGCACTCTCAGTATCATGCCGATGGAATCTTGCTGCCTGGCTCTCAGCTACCAAGCCGCTCAGCTTGCTGCCATGTGTTTCTCTGCAGCCCAAATTTGGAAAGGGCAAAATGTTTTTGTGCAATGGATGGAATAATAAGGTCCCAGAATAGAGGCGCCTTTCTGACAGCTCAGAGCTTTTCCACCATCCACTCCAGGTTGACTCCTAGAGAGGGCAGAGGTCTAGTTGCATGTATGGTCATCCCATGGTTGCAGCCTGCGGTGAATAATTGCCAGTAACCACTATGGTGAACAGCGTATTTGTAACAAATGAGTCTTTGCCAACCTTACCCCATAATATCTTTAGTATCTGTAGCTGTTTCTAAATGTACCATTTGCTGGGGTTATAGCACTTGATCAGGTCATGAAAGTGGATTATATATTATGGTTTCCCATGACCATGACTGTGGGGGGCTGAACTTGATGACCCAAGACATCCTTTCCAGCTCTGTGCTCCTGTTTCTAAATTTTTTTTGGTTGCATTGTATTCATCTGTTTTTTCCTGGGGCGTCCTGTGCTGGTGCCAGAGCCAGAGACTTTGGATGGAGAATGTCAACAGGCAACGAGGATTATTACGATTATTTTTGATGCAGATAGAAAAAGATGCAGAAAAACTCATCCACTTCAGTGCAGTGTAAATGTGTGTCACAGAACCAGAATATTAGATTCATTTTGACCTGCCTGTAGCCACCCAGCCTCCCCGTTGTCTTTTTATCTATTACCAGTGGGGTATCCCAGTCTGTCCTGTTCTCCAGCCCCTCAAAGACTGAGAGCAGTTTGGGTGACTGAATTCCATTTACCTAAATCCTCCAGGCCCAGGTGGCTTCACTTCAGTGTTACACCAGACTTCTTCCACCCTGTCTCAAGTTCCCAGCAGAATTCAACCCTGCTGAGGGTGCCGTTGAAAATCGGGCGTCCACGCCTCTGACCCTGCTGCACATGCACCATGGTCACTGAGACCATAAACATTCATCTTTAGAATGGGTATTTCTCATCTTCATAACTGGCTGCGGCAGTAATGTGTGCTGTTGAATATCTGCCACGTTCCACCCCAGAAGTGGCTGCATTTTGCTGGTGCCATAGTTGTATAGCATTTGTTAAAGGTGTTGGATCCTTCTGCATGAAGCTGCACACACTAGTAACGGCTGTGTGATTTGTAAACCTGGTGGAAACAACTCACCCAAATTAACCCTGAGAGAGGTGGCTCCTTCAGGAGTGAGGGCTTTCTTTTCTGGGGGAACCTCCTTGGTGCAAAATGGACAACTTTGCCTCCCAAAACAGGTTGAGCTGCCCTCCGCTCCCAGTCATGTTCTCCTGTGTGTGTGTCAGCGAGGGGGTCTTTGCATGTGGGGAGTTATTTGAAATGAGGGAAGCTGCCTAGAGATCCTGGGCAAGTGTGACACAGGTTTTCTTGGGCTGAGAGATTATTCCTGCCCCCACTCCAAGCCAAGGGGAAGTGGCTTGATGGTGCATGAAGCATGCTGCGGGAGGGGAAGGAAGCAGTGCCGCTGGGGAGGTCCTGAATGCATTGGTCTGCTGAGTTCAGTTAGCTGTGGCTACCAAGGGGCCTGATGGATCTGTGGGGGAGAAGGAAGGAGAGGAGGGAAATAGCTCCTGCCTGTATTTGCGTACCCTGAAGGACTTGAGCCGAAGGCAAGATTTAACGCTGAATTGCTCCTTTGGGCACGACTGCAGCCTTCAAGGTGCAGGTGTGGGATAATGTCTCTGCTCTGTGGGCTGCTGGTGCCCTTTCATGACCGCTCTCTCCTTTTTCTCAACAGGGGAAAGTGGAAGTGGAGGCTGGGAAAGAGGGAATGAAGTTTGAAGCTGGTGCTTTTTCCTACTATGGGGTGATGGCCCTCACAGCATCTCCAGGTATGTCCTCTTCCAGTCCGCTGCTGAGCTCCCTCTGTGCACGAGCATGCCTGCCTCTGCGTGCCTCTGTCCAGGGAGAGGGACCCCGGGAGATGCCCCTGCTGTGCCTGTCGTGGCTGGTGTCACCAGTAAATACCTCCCCGCCAGTGAAACGAGGTGCCTGGTGTGTTGTCTGGGTGGGGCTGATATGGCTCATGACATGAAACCCGCATGCTTGCCAGCCTGCAAGCCCAGAGCAGACAAGAGCTTTGGCCTTGGGGATCTCTCTGGCCTATGATGACGAGAAGCCCCCACCGCATAGCAGAGACTGGAGGAACGGGCAGCACGAAGCCTGTGGGAGACCGAGTGGTACAACGTCCGACTGCCTGTGGTTTGGATAGCCCATCTCTGCAGGCCCTTAGAAACCAGCTGGGATGGGGACACTGAGGGGAGGTTTTCCTGTCCTGGAAAACTGGTGAGGATGAGCTGGGACAAGCAGCTCGCGCAGCCTCTCACACTGCGGGCAAGGAGAAAGAACAGCAATGAGAGAGGCTTGCTACTGAGCCCAGGCCCAGGCAGATCCCCTAGGAGAAACCAGAGTCCCATGACATGGACACAGCATCAAGTCACATAAACGAGGCACGTGCTGCTGTCTAACGCCATCCACAAGTGAGTGTTCGTGCTGGCTCCTCAAGCGCACTGTTGGCTTGTGGCTGCATCGTCCCGAGCAGCGAGCGTGGCTAAGCAAGGCCGGGCTGGATTGCTGCTTAATAAGCTTGCCAGTGCTGCTGGTGTTAGTCGTTAGCGAGCGAGACTCATCCGTGGGTGAAACCACTGAGCCTCTGCACGCACCATCATGCCAGGGTTGTGCATGGCACCCAGCCACACTGTATGTCAGCTGGAAGCCACGAACCAAGATGTTGGTCAACTGTAGCAATTAAAAATCCCACAAAGCTTTTCACAAGCGTGTGTGAGAGCCCCAGGGAGTATGTCCTGCCAGCCCAGCGTCGGGTGGAGACGCGTTCCTTTGCTCCCGTTGACATTTGTTTCTAGTCTCGAAGGAGCAGATTAGCTTCTGTGTTTCACCCCAGTGGTGGCTCCGTTGCAAGAAGGGAGTTATTGAACCCCACGAACACTGTTAAATGGCTTTAGGAACCTGTAGAGTGATCAGTACTGTATAAACCAGGTATTGACGTCTCCTTGGAAGAGCAGGTGATTCGAATCCTTTCCCCAGGGGATGGCAATGCCCTGGGACGTTTGAGGTGTGATGGTTCAGTTCCGCATTGCCATTCGGCCGACATTTGGCTGGACGTATATTAGTAATTGCGCATGCAAAGCTGAAGGCAGTTGTTCCTCACATGTTCAGGGTGTAGAGAGATCTAACGAGAGAAATGCATCTGCGGGCACTTCAGCCAGGGGCATGTGCACAGCTGTCGAACCCCCAGTTGAAGCGTTGCAAAATGCTGCAGCCTCCCCTCGTTCCCTCTGTCCCCCAGAGGTTGATGGGGCTGGGGCCGAGCACCTAGCTCCAGTGGTGGGCAGGCATCTGGGGTGGGGGGTAAGGCCAGCTCCGGTGGCAGTGGAGGTCTGAGAAGGGGGTGCAGGGGTCACAGTCAAAATGCACCAGCTGGCTCCCCCTTCTCCCCCATGCAGACAACCAGCGAAACCCTCTAGCACAGTACTTCATCCCCAAGAGCTGCTATTTTGGAGGCATTCTGTCTTTTTGGGAACGTTGGTCCAGCCACCCCTCTGAAACGCTGCAATTGTTAGGTCTGTCTGTACCCTCACGTTCCCTCAATCTTGCTGCTTCCTGGTAGGTTTTTGATGACAGCTTGGCTGCAGATTACGGCAAGGCATTGATGGGTGCCTTAGCAGCGATTTCCATTGCATATTTGTGTGCGTGTGATCCCCTCCCTGTGCTCTCTAGTTGGAAGCTCAGGATTTGCAGTACAGACAGGTCACAGGTTGGCGAAGAACCGACTCTCCCCACTTGTGCCTGGGCCATGTATGAAAATCCTTCACGGTGGTGCCTTTTGCCAGCATGGGTCAGCTTGGATGCCCTGCTGCTCTGGTTTTTAATCTTGCTGGCACCTTTTGGGTGCCTCTGGCTTTTCTTCCCAGCTTTGGCACTCACATTCTCTCTCCCCTCCAGACATTTCCTCCTCTCTCCTCGCAGGCAAGTGATTGCCCCTGCATGCAGCCTGGGAGGCACCTGGGGCTTTCTCTCGCTTTAAGCACAAGCACTGTAGAGCACTATTTGCATGACGGATGTTACAGATGTGCATGTTATTTCCGGTCGGCGCTCTGGAGGGGGTGACCGTGGCGAGTTGCTGGTCTCTTGGTGCCCCATTGTGCCTGTCTGGGTTTCCTCTTTGTGCCCTTTGTCTCCTGAACGCATCCTGAAGTACAGCACCAGAACCTGATGCTGAGCGGCAGTCAGGGCCGGCAAGTGGAGCATGTGTAGTGTTTTGCTGATTTGTTTTTTAATAATTTCTGCAAAGTGTCTAACCAGTTTTTTAACCCCTTTAGTTCTCTGCAATTTTGTCTTTGTGGTTCAGGTCCGCGCACAGAGCGAGTTGGGCTTTTTCCCCCATCGAGCGTGGATAGCCACGTCCCTCCTGGTCACAATCTCATCCTTTTTCTCTCCCTCTTCTAGTTCCCTTGTCCCTGTCTCGTACCTTTGTTGTCAGCAGAACAGAGTTGTTAGCAGCAGGTTCTCCAGGTAAATCTGCATGCTTCTATTACACCCTTCTTGTGACTGCAGCGACCCCATAAAAAGCCAGCTGCGGTCTGTATTTCTCTTGACCTCTTTGCTTGTTAGGGAGACATCCAGCAAAAAACGTGCCTGCCAGGTAGGTATCGGGGATGACCAAGCTGTCGCGACATAACAGGTGCATGAAAATGAAAGGAGAGGAAAGAATACTTGCATAAGAGAATGGCTTCGGTAATGAGCAGGTTCTTGCTCCTGGCACCTGGGCTGTGGCAGGGCATCAGGAGGGCCCTTTTCTTAACAAAACTGCCTGGCTCTGAGCCCGGGCTTCTCAACATACAACGCGTCTCCATTCTGCAGAAGGTCGAATTGAAATGGAGGAGAGGGGCGCTGGAGGGCTGCCAGAAGAAAGAGTTAAATACAACTTAGAAATGGTTCCTCCTATTCAAACAAGCTGTAAAATCTATAGTTCGTGCACAAAATATTCCTTTCAAATGTCCTTGGAGCCGCAAGTTTTCTTCACAGCTGATGCAGTCCATTGACGTCTGCTGAGATCTTACAAACACGCCAGATTGATCGTTCAGCCCTAGATGGATTTGGGGTGGTTTGTGCCAATAGTTTGTGAATGAAATCCGTGGGAAGAATGTGGAAATGTTTTTTGGGGTTGGTTTTAAGACCATGCATTACAAATGACTAAGTCGATATTGCTCAAACTTCCTGCAAATGTTTTGCTTAAGGGCTAACATCAGGCCAGACAGGACTTAATGAGGCTGTTTTGAACTGCTGGAAGTAGGAAAGAAATAGGAGCCAGAGCTCGCCCTCCCCTGTTAAGCATGTACCTGGGCCAGCGAGGAGATGAATGGAAACGTTATGCAGAGGGGGAGCCAAGCGTACAGGAGTGGCTGAACGCTGGAACGGGCATTGTCCACCCGGCACTGCAGCCACCGTCTCCATCTTCATGCAACTCTAAACTCAGGAGAGAAGGACAGTGATGAGTGCTTAAATAGAAAACAACTTTCAGCATCCAAACTTTCCTGTGTCCTCCATCTGCTCCTCTGGATTTCCCCCTCCTCCCCTACGTTGTAATTTTCCTCTGTTCTCTCCTCTTTCCTGAAAATTAGTCTCATGCACATTCCAGATAAACTCCAGGTTATTGCCCTGCTGGAGATTTTTTTTTTTTTTTGTGCCCTGTTACTTTCCAGCAGCTAAAATTGAAGGGGAAAAAATTAATCTTTCTTTAATTAAATCACTTGATGGTGGGTTTTTTTTCCCTTTTGAACTCTGTAGCTTTGATGATCATTTTCTAGCTCAGTTCTTTTGCTATGCCCATCATTTAAAAAAAAAATTTTTTTTACCCTCCTGCCATGTTACGAATGAAAGGTACCCGTCCCATTTGCAAACTATTTCCAATATAAATGCCAGGCATTTTTTCCAAGCTTTTTTCCCCCTACCCCCCGGTTGAAAAAAAGAACAATAGTATGGAAAGTAATAGCGGACAGAATATTCCCCTTGAAAGGAATTGATATGGTAACTGGTCACTATGGCAACTCGCTGTGCGGTCTGACATCAGCCGGCGGTACAGAGGCGATGAGATCAGGACCCCCTGCGGCAATGAGGGTTGGTCTAAAACCAAAGAGGGGGCCACCGAGTGAACCCCAAGGCCGTGTTGTCCTTTGGCTCGAGGTTTGTGGTGGGAAGAGCTTTCTAGGCACCAGCCGAGCTGCTTGGGCAGGGTACCGAACAGGATCTCATGCCGTTTATCTGTCTTCACGGTCTCTCGTTTTCTCAGCTCTCCCCCGTCCTGCCCCCGGCTTGCACGTGTGCCCGGTCTTGCCTGTCTGCCTTTGTGCCCCTGGGTACTTTGTCCCTTGCTTGTTCTGTCCTCCCTTCCACCCCGCCCCTGTTTTCAGCCCACTGCTCCCATGTACTCTCCCTTCCCCTCCTTTTGCACTCGAAGTTCACCATCAGGGTGCCATTGAACGAGGATTTCGGGAGAGCAGGTCTTGTTGCCCATGAATGCAAAGCCGTTTCAGACGCCCGTCTTTCTCCCCAAGCACAGCAGCTACACTTCTTGCTCTGTATGTAGTGGGGTGAGAAAGCAAAGGCCAGTTCATCTGGCCTCGGAGTATGCTGGCTGAGGGCGAGGACAGGCATCTTTGCTTATGATCAGGTCGTGAGGTGCCCGTTGGGGACAGGTATTCATTATCATTGGGAAGAGAAAAGTGGGCACTGGGTTGTAAAAACAACTAGTGAATGAAAAACTAACGGGGCGTTTCAGTCCTGTCCTGAATCTGAACGAACCAAGGTTGAGTGCTTAGAGCGATGAAATGCAAAACAGCCCAGCCCACGGGCGGACAAAATGCATCTCCTCTGAGAACTGCTGAAAGCTGCCTCTGCCCACAGTGCTGTGGCTTGATGAGAACGTGCAGCAGATCTGGGTCCTCGTGGCAAGGAGGAGAGTAAATGCTCTGCGGCTAAGTCAAGGAGACGGTGCTGAGTTCTGCGATACCTTCAAAGACTGCCCTTCCTTGGTAGAAGGATGCCACCACGAAAGCAGCTGAAAGGGGTGAGCTGTGCTGGCTGCCAGCTCGATGCGAAGTGGCTCACGTGTGGGTTTCCTAACCAAGGAAGACCTCTCCGGAGGATGCACTCGCTGCGTCTGGCCGGGCAAACCAAGCCAAGTTGGGTTCAGTCTGGGATTGATGAATCTTGAGTGCGATTGGGACCAGAAATCTACCTCGTGGTCAGCACACGCAGCATTGTCACTCGACTAGGGAGGAAGTCTGGGGAAGTTGCATTTTGGAAAATGTTCTTGCAGCAGCCATGACCCTTGTAGGTCACCAAGTTGGTGGCAACTTAGAGTAGTGAAGGCTATATTTTAAGGTGCTTTACTGAAAATAACTTTGGCTTCAGTAAAGCGTAACCGGGGCACTCCTCTGTGATAGTTACAACCTTCCCGTGAATAAGTGAAGCTCTGTAGTGCACATGTGAATGACTTGTCTTTACGACCCCCAGGGAGAGGGAATGCCATGCTGTGTCCTGAATGTAGGATTTATCCCTGCAGCAGCTTATCTCCTTGTGTCTGTGCCGCCTGGCAGGCAGGGGTGGTGCTACATAGAGCCCGATCTCCTGTACTATTTCGAGCACAAATGATCCCTTCAAACCCTATGTGGAAATGGGCATGAAGATCATTTTGGGAAGAGATGAAATGGGAATTGTACAAGGGAGAACTGTGGCCCAGGCGGCACCATCTGTAGAGATGAGCTCAGCCAGGCACGCGAGTTAGGCAGGTACAGTGGAGGCACAGCTAGCATTGAATGAAGTAAAGGGTGTAACACAGTACGTATATACAAAGGGCACCCAGATCCCTGGATGAAAGGCGCTGTGTAAGAAGTGCAAGGATAACGAAGCATGGATCCTGGCCATTTTGAATATCATGCGTCAGCTCTGGGTTGAAAATGCCCTGGATCTCCTGGGGGTCTTGCTGGTGAACTGTATGTTGTGTGGTGTAAGTACCAGTGCAGCCTTACTCGCCTTTATTTCAGAAGTCTCTCTGCCTTCTTTCCCCCTTCTCCAGCTGAGAACAAGTCACCGCCTCGTCCTTGTGGCTTGAATCATTCAGACTCTTTAAACCGGAGCGATCGCATTGACGCGGTGACGCCAACGTTAGGGAGCAGCAACAACCAGCTGAACGCATCTTTCCTTCAAGTGTACGTCCCGGACTACTCGGTGAAAGCGCTCACAGACATTCAGTTTGTCAAGGTAGGAAAAGAGAGGCGGGGGCGGGGGGCTCCTGCTCTGAACAGCGGCTCTGCCTGGCGTGTGGGGGACTGGGGTGGGGGCAGTCGGCAGACTCACGGGTTGCAAGCGGTTTGGTGCCTGGGTGACTCGAGGAGCTACAAAAGCCGCAACGTTAAACCCCCTGCTGCCTTCTCCCTTCTGGTGTTTACTGACTCCCTTTCTCCTCCAGCTTTCCTCAAGTAGGGCAGTGCAGGTAGCCTGCCTCTCCTGGAGGTATAGACATAAATATTACCCTGTCACGAAAGCCCCTCTGTTGTTGCACAGCTTTGCAAGGTCTTCAGATTGACTTGAACTGGAGAATTCCCCTTGGTGAGCAGTCCTGCATTCATAAACTGAAGGAGTCAGCCCTTGGCCCACAGGTACAAGGGACACTATCCAAAAGACTCGCAGCATCCTCTCACGTGCCTCTGGGAAAGGCAGACCCCATTCTTCTACCAACTGCTGGGCACTTTGCTCTGCTCCCCATTCCTCGTGTCCCATTAGGAGAAGCGGGCATTGAAACGTATTGGCTCCTTTGGGCTGGAGGAACATGGATGTAACCAGACAGTCCTGCTTAACTGGCGTTCCCGTCCCAGGTCGGGAGGCCGATGTCCAGTGGCAGCGCAATTGTGGTGCATAGCTTCAACTAAGCATTTCTAACTGGGATGTTGCTGTTCAGACGCTGTTTATGCACAACACGCATGATCTGTGAATTTAACTCATTCAAAGGCGTTTGCCTCGGCTAATCCAGCATTAAAAGTTCCCCTTAAATAAGAATAAAAGTGCGGTCTCAGATGTACTGAGCAGAAGATTTATTGTTAAAGAAAAGAAAGCATAATGTTTTAAAACACTAGGCTGCACTGGCTCTCGCTGCTCAGACCTGGTGAACAATATCTTGCTTTTGAAAGCTTGCCCAACTCTCCCAACTATACAGTTGGTCCAGTAAAAGATACCACCCAAGGAGATTCTTGCCTCTTAAAACATGGACACACACATGCCATTTGATGCATGTGGTATTTATAAAAACAGAGCCACTGTCACACTTATTGCCACGTGTTGTGTATTGATTGCAGTGGCCAGTCATCAGTGTGTCCCGAGTTGTACAGGTTGGCTTTTTGTCTCAGTTTATCGCGAGGACTTCCCTGCCACCACTTTGCCACTCCCAGACCTTATTGAGTGGCTGAAATGTGTATGACGCCCACCAAAGCCTCTTCTGACTTACTCACCTTTGCATTTATCTCCTTAGTGCTTAATGTTTCACGTGTGTTGTCCCATCTTTATCGTGCAGTCACTCATACTGATAACCCAAGGTTCTCTCATTCTCACACTCACAAATGCATTTTTGGGGGCATTGTGAGCCAGTCGCCCGGCTTCCCCGTTCCTCCCCATCTACTATCTAGCCATCGGGAAGCTGTGGGTTGCTAGAAGGAACCCCTTGTACTTCCCTCAAGTCAGTCGGCTGCTGCTGCTCAACCTGAGGTCACTCCTGTATGTACATCGCTTCAGCCAGTGTCAGGAATCAAAATGGGTAGTCCAGCGTAAGGGGATCGCTTGCCACTTTCCAGAAAGCATTCAGCATTTCCTGTACGTAGCACCTCAGCCCTGTGAGTTGCAGCATGGGGTGAGCCAGTTTGCTTTCTCCATGGGGAATCGGGGATCAGGGCAGGGTTTTGATATTCTGGCCCAAGTTGAGAGCAGCAAATCTGTGGGGGTAGCAAGTTTTTTGAGAGTGTTGCCTGACTTTGCTTTTTCATCTGATGTTGGCCCTGGGCACAGCTCAGATTAGACTGAACCAGATGCCCGTTGGCATCAGGGTAAGGACTCCAGAACTGGCCCGTACTGCGCGTGGAGAGCGCTGATTACTCCTACATGTAACGCTCCTTCCTCCCCAAGCTCAGTGTCAGCGAGCTGTGGATCGGTCCCAGGCATTTCCATGGCTGTAAGTAACTGGAAAGTCCTTGGTGCCTCCTCCAGTTTCTGCAGCAGGTTAAATCCTTCCCTTGTCATGTGGCTCCATCCTCTGGGTTGGCAGAGTTGTGATAGCAGATCGTCGCCATGTCGCGGTAGTAAGTTGGGGCCACTCTAGGTGTGCGACTCTGGTTTGTTTTATAGAAATTGGGATGAATCCAGGACAAACAGGCTTTGCTTGCGATGTTTGGGGAAATGGAGGATATTTATGTTCCCAGCACAGCAGCAGAGACAGAAGTGTGATTGTGGCTTTTTTGTGTCCTCTCTTGTCTGCTTGGCATAGATCTCAAGACAGCAGTACCAAAATGCCCTGATGGCATCTCGGATGGACAAAACCCCCCAGTCCTCGGACAGTGAAAACACTAAAATCGAACTGACTCTTACGGAGCTGCATGACGGTTTGCCAGACGAGACGGCAAACCTCCTGAACGAACAGAACTGTGTGACTCACAACAAGTCCAATCACAGTATGCACAGCGAAGGCGCCATCTAGGAGCTACCCCCACCACACGTCCCCCTCCCCCCCCATCTCCGGCAGAACCAGCCCTCACTCCTTCCTGCCTTTAGACCCGGCCGCAAACACCGTTTAGTACGTGCTTGAAATGCTGCGCTGCACCCAGTGCTCTGAGACCAAAGACGTTGTGCCCGTCTCGGGAGCAGGAGAGGAAGAAACAAGGAGAACGGAGCAAGAAAGAGGCAACAAAAAAACCAAACGAACCTTGGGAGCAGCGAGCGACCCTCGGCGAACGATGCGATTCCTTCTTGCGGAGTAGAATGGCGTTTATTTTTTAGCCGTACCTTTGTTCCTCATTGGGTTTTTCCTCCTTTCTAAATGCTCACAGGGGAGCTTGAGAAGCTTCTCCAATTTATTTTTTCAAGAGAGATCATGTTTTTAAAAAGAGTATTTTGCAGAGTTTAAAATTGTTGCTGTCCCTCCCCAGCCCCAAGTAGGCTGTGTCATGACTTCGTGAATTGGCTCCAAGTGTCCTTGGCCTCTTTCCATCCTTCTCTTTGGTCCTTTTCTGTTGGTAAGATGGTAACTGGTACTTGTATGTATTTGTCTCCTACAGACAAGGAATGAGTGGAACTTCAAGGAACCTCTGTCATAACCATCTGAAAGTTTGGGGAAGGGCATTACATTCTCCCCAGCTCAGTTTCAGGGAAGGGGTGGTTATTTTGGTGTTAATAATCTCTCCGATTGCAGAAGGTTTCTTTGTAAAAATGCAAATATTGTTACATTTACAGTTTTGTAGCCTCCAAAAATGTCATGCGTTTTGAATATGAAGCTGGGGGTTTCATGGTTTCATAGTTGGTCGGGTCGGAAGGGACCTGAGCAGATCATCGAGTCCGACCCCCTGCCATGGCAGGAAAGAGTACTGGGGTCAAATGATCCCAGCAAGGTGTACATCTAGCCTCCTCTTAAAGCCCCCCAGGGTAGGAGCCAGCACCACTTCCCTTGGAAGTTGGTTCCAGATCCTAGCTGCCCTGACCGTGAAGTCGCACCTCCTGCTGTCTAGTCTGAATCTCCCCTCTGTCAGCTTGTGACTGTTATTCCTGGTCACTCCTGGTCGTGCTTGGGGGAACAGGGACTCCCCAATGCCTGCTGGTCCCCTCTGACTAGTTTATAACAGGCCACTGGATCCCCCTCAGCCTTCTCTTGTGGAGGCTGAACAGGTTCAGGTCCCGTCGCCTCTCCTCGTAGGGCCTGCCCTGCTGCCCCCTGACCATGCGAGTGGCCTCCTCTGGACCCTCTCCATGCTGTCCACGTCCCTCCTGAAGTGCGGCGCCCAGAACTGGACGCAGTACTCCAGCTGTGGCCTGACCAGTGCTGCATAGAGGGGGAGGATCACCTCCCTGGATCTGCTCGAGATGCATCTGTGGATGCAGGACAAGGTGCGGTTGGCCTTCCTGATCGCGTCCCCACACTGCCGACCCATGTTCATCTTGGCATCTATGGTGACTCCAAGATCCTTTTCTGCCTCTGCACTGACAAGGTACTTTTTAATCAACAAAAGTGTAGTCTCCTTAAATTGCAGGCAGGGATGACTTCCCTGTAAGGGTGCTGGGTGGTTTTTATATGCTGGATAATTTGCACTGGTGTGACTGGGACTCGTGTGGTGACACACTGCCTCCTGCTGTGTTGGAAGTATGCACCCCAGCACGTCAGATCTCAGACTCTGAGCTCCTGTACAGCTCGTGCACCCTGTCCTCCAGCCAGAGCATGTTTGCAGCCCGTGATAAATCACTGGGATAGGATTTAGGAGTGATCATTTGTCCCCGACCCCTTGGATGTTGACACAAAAGATGCTGCTACAACGCCCAAAGTGAATCCTCCCAGTGGCTTGTACACCTCGGCCACTGCAGGACCATCCTCTTCTGCTCAAAAACTGACAAAACTTCCATGCCAGACAGAGCTGTGCGGGAGCAGATGCTGCGCTCCAGGGATCAGAGAGGTTAGTCCCTGGGCAGTTTCCCCCCCTGCAGCCCCTCCATGTCCTCCTCTCTCCCCTTTTGCTGCTTCCATGAGGCCATCTGTCCGATTCTGGAAGCAGGGTGGCGTCTCCTCAGCGCTGCTCCTGTTGCTCAGCCCGGGACACGACCAGCTTCCCCACTCCAGCAGCCTGAGCCCAGAACAGGGGCAAGATGGGAGGTCTGCACCACGTATCTTCTAGCCCCCACCAAGCAGTGTCCGTCGTGGAGCTCATGCAGGGACCAAGGAGCCCCCACACCTCTCCCCTTTTCAGTACCCTCTTCAAGACGGTGTGACAGTCGACCTCAGTATTATTCCCTGGAGAGAAGACTACATCCTGGAGCACAGTCTGTCTGAAGCTCAGTCCTTGCTGCTCGAAGACCACCCCAGGACCCAAGTGTAATGTAGCGTTTTTCTCCCTTGCGGATCCAATAAGCTTTATCCAGCTCTGACTTGGAGACTCTCCTGATTCCCAGTGACCCCGGGGGCAGCGCTGGCCCCACTTCCATCCTGACTCCGGCCCTGGGGCGAACGTGACCTCGAGCCTCGTAACGATGTCTGTGCAAACAGCGCGTGAAAGGTGCACCGTTTCACCAGAGCAGCTCTTTGGTGGGTTTTGTCCTACCCCACACTCTCCTTTTTACCCTGTCCAGTGAGAACGGGCTGCCTGGGTCCAACGAGATGGTGGCGAGGAAGGGTACTTCCGATCCCTTTTCGCAGGAGGCATGAATAACACCCGCAGAGGGGAGCACAGCGGTCCCACGCGTGGTATCGAACACGTGGGGCAGGCCAAGCTTGGAGACCCAAGTCCCAGACTTGACCCTCGCACTTCTTAAGCTCGTAGTTAAGAACACTAAATCTCTGTTTTTTCTTCCTTTTAAACGTGCTCCTCTTCATGCCCGGTTCATGATCTCTACCACCCTGATGGCTCTGGAAGGCTGCAGCCACCTGCAGGCTGACAGCGTCCGGAAAGCACCCAGGCCTCTGGTCAGGCTGGTGGGCTGCCTGCTAAACCAGCCCCTCATTGCCCAGCTCGAGGAGAGCTGCTAGTATCGCACCTCTTTCTACAGAGCAGAGTGAGACGACATTGCAATATTAACTCCTGGCCCAGGCAGGGACGTGCTTCTCTGCGTCGGCCCTTCGTATGCAAGCCACCTCCATGGCTTTGTGTTGTTGGATGTACAATGCTGTTGAAAGCGCGGCACGCGGGGGTAACCATGGGGTGCAGTATCCTTCCTATCAAACCTGCTCGGCAAAGCTGTCCTTGGAGGCAGGGGGTCTCTCTTCCGAGCTGGTTTCCGCGCTTCGTGCCACGTCACGGCTGGTCGAGAAGACCTGCTCCCAGTGACAAAAGTGACACAATCTCGCGGGCGAATCCCTCCTTGCTGCGCTCTTTTGTCTGTGTTTCACATTACGCGAGGGCTGCCTGGGAAACATCCCTCTTCTCGCATCCAGCATTTGGAGCAGAACTTGAAATAATCTGCGTGAAACCCGTCGGTCACAGATGTTTCATAAGGATTATAGGCTCCTCTCCTAGATGGAGACAAGCTGCTACTAACTAGCTTGAAGAGGGGGGCTTCCACTCCACCATCAGGCATTGTCGCGACACAGACAACCAGTCCGATGTCTTGGGGGTTGCTGGACTTGACTTCAGCCTTTGGCCCATGGCAAGGGTTTGCTCCATAGAAAGGATACTGCATCTTTCCGTGTCGGCCCCTGCGGCCTGTCCCGTGTCTGTTGGTCTGGGTGGTGGTGCGGACGCCAGTCCAGTTGTGGGCAGGGCAGGGTGGCCATGTTTTCTAATGTTGATACCGTTTTTGCACAAGAGTTCTTTGAAGTGAGGTTTTTGACACTAATATCTTAAATGCACAACTGTGAATTCGTTTTTACACTCCTGTTGGTTGAATTCCTCCCAATGACACGAACCTGAATCTGTTGTAACCATGATTTTTAATTCTGTGTATTGCCAAATCTTTGTAAAGAGTGAAAGGCATGTTCTTGCTTTACAATGAGTCTTTCTCCCACCCCTGCTGACTCCAGGAGATCACACGAAGCATGCTAGCTCTGCATTGCGGGAAGGGATTTGGCAGTCCCACCCTTCTCTCTGCAGACCCAAATTCAGGTCTTCTGGATGGCCCTTCATCCCGTTCCCCACTTGTCGGCACCCTAAACACTCTTGAAAGATGTTGCACCAAAGACCCAAGAACTGGGTTGTACCAGAGAGTTGGGTTTGAGGTACGTTGGCAGAGTGGTGGGATGGCGTCGCTGCCACGACTAGCGGAGGTGGTGATGCAGCCGAAGGTTGACCCGCCCCGTCAGAGCTGGAGGGGGGGCCCAGTCGGGCTCCTTCACGGTGCCGTAGAGCTGGGTTGCGCTGGATGTGAGGGGTTAAGCGTGTTCAACTTGATTTATAGAATTGCCTGCATCCCTTCTCACCTCCTCCTCCCAGCTCCTGCTGCCTCCCCTCACGTCTCTTCTTCCTCCCTGTGTGTCTTTGTGCCTGGATACTTCTTCAGAGAAGGAGCAGGATCTGACTCTTTGCAGTCTCCTTCTCCAGTGGAGAGTGGATGGGAGAGAACGTGGCAGGAAGCGGAGGAGAGCGACATCTCTGGGACCCACAGGCATCTTCCCTGCAGGACTCAGAGGTGGTTTCATAGGGGCTTCCCTTCAACCAGCTCAAAGTACAGTGGAGCGGTTGACCAGACCACAGCAGTGCTTGCTGTGGTGCTTCATGTGATCTCCGAAGAGCTCAGCCAAGAGAGACCTGAACAGCGTCCTGCGTAAGTATTTCACATGATGGCGAATGCAGCCAGGCTCTCTGGGACCAGGTGGGACAGGCCTCTTCCTCCCACTGATGGAGAATATCTACACTGGCCCTGCGTTGGGTCTGTGCTGTATCTTACTTGGTGTCCAGTACACACACCTGTGGCTTAGGACTAGCATCTGGGGACTGGCGTGAAGTTACCCGAGTCGGGACCGTGGTTAGCAGCAGGCTGGGTCGGGGGATGCTGTTGCAGTGCCCGTGAGCATCCGGACATGAGACTTCAGGCCCATTGATGGTGTCTGGCCAGTGTCGACGTGTCTGCGGCTGTTGTAAGCTCTGATGCTGTAGCTAGGGCAGGCTGAACGAGCTCGGACTTGCTGTTCCTCACTGCTCGAGTGCGGGGGCGTTTCAAGCTCTCACTGGATCCAAAGAAGTGCGTGGCTCTGGGACTGGAAGGGTAAGAGTGGATTTGGTCTGCGAGAAGGCCCAGCAGCTTTATCCCGGCAGAACTGCGGTGGAAGCAGCCCTCCTCCTGGCTTAGACTGGGGGGCAGAGAGAGTACGCGCACCGGGGAGCTTCGCTAGATGAGCAACCAGCCGGGCGCTTGTTCTCTGTCTCCTGAACCCGTTGCGTTGGTCACCAGGCACCTCCCGCTCCGGTCCCTCTAGTGATAGGTGCCTTGCATGCGCGGCCTTTCTCAGTGGACACTGGCCCATGTCACTGCTGCACCGGTGCAGCGGGCGAGGGCCGGCATTGAGGAGGTCACCCGCAACGCCCGCCCCTCTCCTCCATGGCCGTGGCGCTCAGTCGAACCTTTCTGCCTTTCGGTTCCCTGCAGCGCGAATGGGCTGCTTCCTGAGCGCCAGTTGTGCCGGAGGAGCGCTTGGCCCCAGTCCACCTCCAGACTAGCGCAGCTTCAATCTTCCACTTAAATTTCATGCATCTCCCACTCCTCTTCTTCCAGGCCTGGGATCTGGGCACAGAGCATTGCTTAGAGATGAGAGAAAGCTTTACAACCCAGGCTGTCCCAGCTCTTCCCTCCTTGAGCGGAGGACGGGTGGTGTGGAGCTAGGTAGGACACTACAGGCAGTCGCTTGCCGATGGGCTTGGCCGTTCGCGCGGTGGGTAGCCCCACGCTCTGGCAGCGGTCTGAACACCTTACTTCCGTGACCCTCTTGCGGTCCATTCTCGTGCCACCCCTTCAAATGCTTTGGCTCTTCCCTGGATGGGATCAAACCCTGCAAATCCCGAAGTGCAGGTGCGTCTCGTTGGCTCCAACTCCCTTGCCTCGGGAGGCAGTGGGGCCTCATCTGACACTCCCTCGTTGCTCTTGCCCCACCGTCGTCTGTTAGCTAGGGTTAGTAGCTGTTCTTGCTGCTCTCGGGGCTGACTCCGAGTGAAGCGTCAGCACTTCGAAAGCAAGGATCTTAGATCTTTAGACTTTCCTCCTTCCCATCCCAGCACATCCTCCCATGATCTCTGGAGTCTTTGCCTTTGCATGGGGCTGGCAACTCCAGTCCTGCCGAGTCCAGTGAAACCAGTGTCAGGAAGTCTAGTTGCTGCTTCCCCAAGTGCTTGCTGTCAAAGCAGTCCTCCTTTCCTCCAAGGTGCGCAGCAGGAGCTGCCTGTTCACAGAGGTTGGAGTTTGCAAGCTGTAGCACTGCAGATCTCCAGCACTTCATGCAGCAGACGTCCCGAATCGGAAGGAAGCGCAGCGCCTCTGCTGGGCCATCAACACGGAGGGTTTGTCCCTCCAGTGCCGGGGCTTCACTCTGAAAGGATGGACTTGCAGTCGGCGTCTGGCACGGAGCCTGGACTTTTACACTCTTCACTCAACCTGCTGACACAGTCTCGTGCCTTCTGGGCCAGTCCCCACCAGCGTGGAGAGGCGGGGGGTGAGCATTCAGCGTTCACGGAAGTCACAGCCGCGTTGCGCCAGGAGAGATCCCTCCATGGCACGCGGGAGCGCTCGCAGCACGGATCCCCCAGCGCTAGCCTCGCGTGCTGGTGTCCTCCAAGCTGGGAGGTAAGAAGGGATTTTGGGACAGACCTCACAGGTTGGACTTTCTCTTCCACGAATGCTCTGGTGGATTCCCAGATTTGCGTCCGAATCACGGTGCAGATGTCATGATGCCAAATACTGAAAACCCAAATACTTGAGTTTGTGCTTCTCTCTCACTTCGCCCCACTTCTCTGCAGCAGCTGAAACACCTGCTTAGCCCAAAAACCAAGCTCTTCCCTGTGTGTAGACCTTCCCTTTAAAGCCTGCCCCTCTATTTGCTGAAGTCTGCACAGACTCTCTAGACTTCCACTTCTAGTCCTGCCCAAAGGCTTTGCCGTTCACCTTTTAAAATGCGTTTCCCTGCTGTCCAAGCACCCCGCTGGCCTTTAGGTTACGCTGCCAGTCCTCGGCCTCTTCTCCCGCGTCGCCTTCTCCATCCCGTGTGGTCTTTGCTGTCTGTATCATATTGTACATGACGTTGTTTTTCAGAGTTGTAGCGTCCTGCCTACAGTATTTCAGACGGTGTACATAAACACGCATAAGCACAAAGGAAAGCCGTGGATGAAGTGTATACGTTTCGTAAACTGATTGTCATGCAAATGAGTTTTATAATTATTCTGACATTGTTGTAGATTTCCAATCTCTCCTATTTATTTTGTACCTGATTTATTTGTATATTTTGTGATTTTTTTTTTGTTTGTTTAAAAGCGTTTTTTTTTGTTTCTGTTCTCTCTAGATAAATGATTAATTTTTTTCCCCTTTCTGTTGGACGTTCCCGTTTCTGCGTTGTTCCCTCCTCGGTGTTTCACCTTCACTTTATTTAAAGGGGCCAGCTGGTCATTTCTTTCTCTCATCGTGTGCATTGGGTGCCGTGGGCATGTGCTGGTCAATCATGGCTCATGCATCCCCAATGTCTTGGCGGCCTCTTCACTTCCCAAGAGGGTTGGCCCTGTCTCCTTCCCACTGACCGTAGCATGTTGCCGTTGGCTCTCGTGGGACAGGATGAGGCACAGAGCTATAAAAGCCAGAGACCGAACGGATGCACTGGCACTGTCGTGTCTGCGAGTGCTGGCAGGGCGGATGTGGTGGACACTGCCTGGGGGACGTTTCCAGCAGGGCTGTGGGGTGTTTTTTGTTCCCCCCCCTCCCCCCCCAATAAAAATCCCTTCTTTACAACCTCCTTCTCTTGGCTCTCACATTTGTTTGTCCTTGAACACGCCTGACGTAGCATGGCGCAGCTGCGGCTGAAGGGCGTATCGGTGAGGGGCTGTTCACACGTGAGTGCACTCCTGCTTCACGCACGTGTCCTCCCTCTCACGAGGGCAGGAGGCCATAGAGCTGCCAGCAAACGCACCCAGCTCTTGCCTCCCTTTGCTGATGTGTCGGTCTCTGCCTCCAACCCGCCAGCTCCAAACAAGCCCTCAGGACAGAGGTCCAGATCCTCATTTGGGTTCTGGCCCCTTTTGGGGCGGGGAGACCAATCCATTTCCAGTGCGTTGCCTGCCACAACTCCCACGGGTTCCTGTAGTACTTACTGTCCCTGCGGTCGTATGGGAAACGACCCATAGACTATCTCGGGTACAAAAAGGCGCATGTTGCCTGGCGTTCGTGCCTGGTGAGCAGGGTGAGGATTTATTAAGGATTGTTCAAGTAACAGATAACAACCACGAATGCAAAGTCGGATCATAAAAGATCTGCAGCGGTCTGTTGTTACCAACGCCTGGTTTACTAAGCCAGCAGCTGGCCAGGTTTTTCTCTGGGGTGAGGAGCTTTTCTGCTCACCACAGATGCGTGCAGGAGCTCTTCCTACTGCAGCAGTTGTCTATCGTCTTGCCATGGAGGCGCAAGCTCAAGCAGGCACCCAGGTCTGCAGACACGCCACATGCAGATCCGCTCACTGTCACTCAAACACACTCAGTCCCGGAGCAATCACACACTTGCACATGACTCACTCAGGCCTGGAGTGATCTGATATCAGGAAAACCTCTCACTAGGAGGGTGGTGAAGCATGAGCAGGCTCCCTAGGAAGGTGGTGGAGTCTCCATCCTTGGAGGTTTTGAAGACCTGGATAGACTTGTCTGGGATGATGTACTTGGGGCTGGCCCTGCTGTTAGCAGGGGGTTGGACTACAGGCAACTCCTGAGGTCCCGTCCAACCCTCCTTGTCTATGAGTCTATGCAATGTCACCTTCCCTGTCCCCTGGGGATGGCCAGGTGCCCCAGAAGGGACTAGTGCATGAAACCCCGCCAGGAAAGTGCTCTGCCTTCAACCAGCCTTTGCTCTCTGCGTGCTGCTTTGCTGATGTAGCTGCCCTCGTGTTCAAGAGGGGAGAGGGATCCACAGCATTCGTCTGCCCGGGGCTGGGGGCGCCAGTGGAGGTTTTGTACAGTGACTGTATAACGTGCCAGGGCGAGAGGCTGGTACCAAAGCAGCAAAGGGCTGCAGGCATCACTAAAGAGACCTAGGCCCCCACTTCCCTCCCGCTCCGTGGGAGCAGACCTGGCACGGCAGCACGCCGCTCCCTGCAGCGGAGGCGGTGGATGCACTCCCCAGCTGTCCTTCCCCCAATGACAGGAGCACCCCCCACTCCACCGCTGTGCTGGGCTGCTGCGCTTGCCCTGATCCTCACATGTATGGACACTGCAGACACGGACTGGGGGCAAACCTGACCCCTGAGCTACACGGCTTGCAGCATCGGCCAGCCCCCCCAAGCCCCATGCAGCGTTCCCCGTCTCCCCTGTTTGCTTTGCCCTGAGCCTTGTTGGCTGGAGCTAGGGGGGATTCAGTCAGCACTTCTGACCCCCCCCAGCTGTGCCCCGGCCCTCCAAAACCTTGAAGCATGAGCGGGAAGGATTGGAGCATGAGTGAGTGCCCACGCAGCCCCACACGAAGGTCAGTTGGGGGGGGTATAGACGTGTGCGTGTGTGCATATGTGTATACACACATGTACACGTACCTCCAGCATGCATGTGCATGCACATGCGCACACTTGCTCTTTCTCTCTTGCTCTATAAATGTATAAAAGGGGGGGGTGTATAGATATACTTCTGTAAGTTTGGCGGTGGGGAACGTGCTCCAGCCAGCCAAGCAGTG